CCAAATATGAATCCCTCTCCTTGGAATTTAGAGTTCTTCACAACTTGACCCTTTCTACCTTTCCAGTCCTCTCTTCATAGTCTAGTTACAGTTTTTTTTTTTTGCTTTTGCTTACATGTCACACCCTATCTTTTGTCTTCATGCCTCATCTCTGAATATTTTCTCTTCTCCCCCTTCCTTACTCTAAGCTTCCCTTGCTTCCTTCAAGGCTCAACTTAAATCCCACCTTCAGGAAGTCTTTCCTGATCCCCACTCCTCAGTTGCTAGTGCCTTCTTCTCTGAGATTACCTTACATTTATATACATATATGTAAGTATATGTAGATGTGTATATAGGTATATATATGTGTATATGTGTATATCTGTATATGTATATGTATAACCTAATTCTAGATTTTGTTGCTTTATATACAAATATAGATTTATATATAAAATTTTATATACAAATATACATTTATATATAAAATTTTATATATTTATATTTGCTAGATATAAGTTGTTTGTTTATATATTTGTATATAAATTTATTTATATAATATATATTTGTACATAAATTTATTTCTATAAATATATATTTGTATGTAAATTTATTTCTATAAATATATATTTGTATGTAAATTTATTTCTATAAATATATATTTGTATATAAATTTTATATTAACAACAAAATGTAGAATTAGGTTATACACATACAGAGAGAGGGAACCCGATTATTTATCTATGGGGTCTCCCATTAGAATAGCATCTGGCACATAGCAAGTACTTAAAAAAGGCTTGTTAACTGACTGTTTTAGTTTGAAGTGAATTTCCCCATCGATGAAGATCTCCAAGGGTAAACAAGGTGATCACTCATAGGTGAGTGAGGTTGTAGAGGAATTCCTGTTCATGTATGAGCTGGACTAGATGGTCTCTTAGGACCTTTTCATCTCTGAGATTCTAGGATTTATAATATTGGTCATTTAGGAAAATATGTTCCAAATTTAAACAACTAATTTACAAATTGACCTTGCAAAATGCTACATACCCATTTATCAGGTCGGGATCATCCGCAAAGGTTTTGATGTCGTTTTCACATTAGTTTGTCCTGCCTCCCTTTCTCCTAATTCCTTTTCCTTAATCTGTAGGATCTCCGAAAGCAGACCCAGTATCTTTCAATTCTTCGGCACTCCTCTCAGCTTGAGTGCAGGACTGGGCATACACGTGAAGTACTTGGCTATTGACTGATGAAGGAAGCAGACTGGCTTATGGCACAGTGTTTTCTTCCATCTTTAGGAGTACCTGATAAGGCAAAACTATAACCCCATATTCCCTGCCAACTGGCTGATCATCTCTGCCCCTAAGTCCCTACCCCCCTTTTCTTTAGAGGTAAGCTATCTATGAGCTCTCAGTTTCTGTATCAGAACTGCCTTACCACCCACCTCTAGCTCACCCTCCTGATGTCATTGGTTCTCCTCAAGAACGAAGAATGAGTAACAAGAGCTGACCTGAAGCAATGGGCAACAAGCCTGAAGAAAAGTTCACATCGGTGTGAACCAAGGATCTAAAAAGGCAGTTGGCCCCAGACTTAAGTTTCTGTGGAAGAGCCCAGAGCCTTGGGGCTTATGGAATCTGTTTCAGGATGATGAATAAGAAAAAGAAAGCTTTGGGACTGAAATTCTCCCCACTCGGCAAAGGCCAAAAAAGAGGGCAGATGCTTCAAGATGAGAGACAGCTGTGCATTGTTAACTGATGGTTCGTGCCAGGTGGTCCTTCACGGCAGATCCCTCTGATGGAGGCAGGCGTTCCCTACGCTCAGAAGCCACGTCCGGCTGTTACATCCCATGGCTTTGGAAGAAAGCTCCCCCTCTCAAGCAGAGAAACCATTTTTGGTTTTGGACGCAAAACAGACAATGTTATTGTCAAGTCTGTCGTTGGGAACATAGTGCTCTCAGCCCTACTGGCTTGGCCATAGTCAGAAGAATAAAACATGGCAGTCATCCATGAAATTTCATCATTTGTTTCGCCCTGATCCTACCTTGCCCTTGGAATGAATGGGGTCAAGTTAACTTCCCTCCTGCCCTCATGTGACCTGCACACACTTTCTCTTCAGTCTTTTTTTTTTTTTTTAAGTGAAATTCTAAGTAGCAGGAAGCAATGAATTGAAATGGCCAGAGACCAAAGTCCTCTGGGAAAAGCAAAGCAGACTAATAGTTAAGGTATAAGCCTCGTATAAGTGTAAAATATTTTTTAAAAAATAAAAAGGAAAAGGAAGGTTACTCTGGAAGCCCCTAGGCTACTGTCCAGAGCCACTTAATTGTTTTCTGGGGCAATAGGACCCCAGGGCTCCGGGGCTCCAAAGCTTGGCAATGATTTCTGCCCCAATTACCTGAATTGAGTGTGTGTTTACTTAATCAGGGTATTATGTAAACCCGGCCTGTTAGCCTTTAGCCCGGAGGCCTCTTTTCATTATACCGTCAGCTCCCTCACCTTTGGGATACAGGAGCAGCGGGCTGATTACGGCTTAGTATTGGGAAAATATTAAGAATACTATGTTCCCAAACACAATGTGATTTATGACAGAGCCAGATTCCACTGGAACAAGAAAGTGCCAAGCTGGCAGCCTTCAGTCTGCTTGAGGGGAAGTTCTGTTTTAAAAGACTACATTTGGGATCAGTCCTCCACAGAAATCTCCAGAAAAAGAATCCTGGATACTCTGAGTGCACATGAGAGAGTCTTGGAAGACAGAATCAGAATCCAAAAAAGACTGTGACAGCCTAAGATGATAGATAGATAGATTCTAGGAAAGAGAAATTTATTCAGAAGAAGTTTAACAGGGATAAATGGAAAGTCCGACACAGGTTTAAAAAATCAATGGCATAATTAGAGGACACAATATGACAGTTCGAGTGAGGCAGCGTGGTATAATGGGCAGAGCACTGGATATGGGGTCAGAAGAATTGGGTTTGCATCTTGACTCTGGAATCTTTTGAGCCAGTTCACTTAAGTTATTGGACTTCTCTGAGGCTTCAATACCTTCATCTATAAAATAAAGGGCTAAGTGCTCTATAGGGCCCCTTATAGCACTATAATCTTCAAAAATTGGTATCTTAAAATATTGGTATTTTAAAGGACTTCAACTTAATATGATTAAATATTGTGATATATGTATATAATATGCATATAGAGAGAGAAAGAGGGAGACAGAGAAAGTCCAAACTTGTGATTTTTTTTTTTTTGGAAGGAGAGGGGAGAAAGACAAGTGTGTCTTCCAGGTCACTAGGATTTTAAATCGTCTGAAACAAGACCTTATGATTTGCATGGAATAGAGGAACAAGGTGGAAGCAGAGTGAAAGCAGTTATTTCTTTAGTGTTATTCAGCAACTATTCATTTGAGGACCTAGAGCTCTAGGGCTATTTACTGGAGTAGGGGAAGGGAGTGGAGGAGAGAGAGAGATAATAGGAACTATGAATTAAAATAAGTTTCTGACCATAAGTCAGATAAAAGTTAAACTGAAGAAATTAATGGAGATAGGAGGGGAGAAAAAGAGTTCAAAGATTTTGTCCTTGACATGTGCACACATTTTTGTTATTATTGTTGTTCAGTCATTTCCAATTCTTCATGACCCCCATTTGGGGTTTTCTTGGCTAAGATACCGGAGTAGTTTGCCATTTCCTTCTCTAGCTTATTTGATAGATGAGGAAACTGAGACAAAGTTAAGTAACTTGCCCAGGGTCACATAGCTAGTAAAAGTCTGAGGCCAGATTTGAACTCAGGAACATGAGTCTTCATGACTCAGGCCCCAGCACTCTATCCAATCTACCACCTGGCTGCCCTATCTGCATGTATTCCTTCCTAAAAAGAGGTTTACTCACCATAATATCTCCAGTAGATGCTCTCACTCCAAGAACTGCCTGATAGACCAGTGAGCCTCTTCTATATGGCAGACCTTTACTAACCACCAATCATATGATGTCATGGTAATTGAGTGGCCCTGAATATAGATGGATCATAGGATTATAATGTAAGTAGGATTATAATGTAAGATACTTCCCCTTTTATAAGTAAATAATTGGGTACTGAAAAGGGTAGGAACTGAACTTTTATATAATGGAAACTGATTCAATCCACTTATGAAGAAAGTCTCTTAAATAAAGCTTGAGAAGAGACACAGATAGTTCTAAGAACCAGAGAGAGAATTGCCCTTCACATGGATGTACTGTTTGAAGACAGAGCTATGACTTGACACCTTGTAGTCTATCAGCCCCACTGCCTGTGTCCTCTAGAATTATTAAGTCCAGACTTCAGGTTTCTCCCTTCCAAGAGAACTCCTACAATTCTATGTAGGGTGAGAGCCTCAGACACTGAGATGAACCAAACTTCCTTAAAGACTCAGCTCAGATGGATTCTGAGTGCAGATTGATATATTTTTCTCTTTTTTTTCTTATTTTTTTTCCTTTGCAACACAGCTAAAGTGGAAATGTTTTTCTATGACTTCATATGCACGATGGGTATAATACTACCTGCTTTCTCAGTGAGTGGAGGAGGGGTAGAAAGAGAGAGAAAAAAAATTTGGAACAGAAAATAAAAAATTTTTTTAAAAAGACAACTCATATATACAGCCTGTATGATGTAAAAGACTTTTTTGATCTCCCCAATTTTTCTTGTTCAAATTATCTTGTATGTACATGTTGTATCCCTCCAAGAGAAGAGAAGTTCCTGGAGGGCATCTCCTTTTTGTCTCTGTCTTCCCCAGTGCACAGAGATTTGCATGTCCTGTGGTGTTTGTTACTCAATAAAGGTTTGTTGAATTGAATTTATTTGCATATGTGTCATTTTTACCTATTAGACTTTGAGCTCTTTGAAGCCTGGAACTACAACCTTATATAGACTTCTACAAGTCCTACTGAGTTGGAGAAGCTTCAGGTACAAATCTAGTAATGAATTCTGTGTCTAATCTGAAGACCAGCCCTAGCTAAATTCAGAGACATTCATCACCAGAAGGCTGGCCATCAAGTGATAGATCTCTTTAATTGTTTTTTGTTTTTTTCAGGTGGGGGTAGGGGTGGGTAGGAGCAACTCATGATACCATCTGCTAAGTACTGAAAGGGCTGCTCTCTGGTTGGGAGGAGGGTGTATCCACACTGATGACATAATGGATCTGTTGAAAAAAAGAAATCGTATGTGAGGCAAATCTTCAACAATAAATCAAAACCACATGAATACCATGGTGCACATGCAGCCAAGAAAATATTAGTATTAAAGAGACATTGTTGTTTGTTTGTTTTTGTTTTTGCAGTGATGAACAATTTAGGATCCTCAGAAGTACTTTTTCAATTTCTCAAATGCAATCCAACCCAAAGTCCCCTTCCTGGGCATCCATAGGCCCATTTGTTAGCCTCGTGACTGCCCACTATTCACTTCTAATGATGCCTCAGTCAAATGGCAAGTAATCATGTAAAATAACATCACCATGATAATGATAATTGACATTTACACAGCACTTCAAGGTTTACAAAGAACTTTCTTCATAACAACTCTATTAGGCAAATAGTACAATTGTTATTATTTTACCCACTTTGTAGATGAGGAAATTCAGACTTGGAGAAAAATCATTTGCTGAGGACTTGAACAAAGGACTTTTGGCTCCAGAGACAGTGTTCCTTAAGCTCCACTATGATGCCTGCCCAAAACATCCAGTGGAATGGGACTTCTTCTGAACTAGGACAAGATCTGCTACTACTCTGAGCAGAAGTGAATGAATGAGCCGGAGAATGTCACCCAACGTCCAGAAGCTCTAGGACCAGTCAGAGGTCAGGATGGAGAAGCAGAGTAGTATCATGGATAGAGTACTGGCTTCGGGGTCGGGGAGAAGGCGCTTCCAGTACTGTCTTGAAGCTTACTAGCTCTGTGATGCTGAGGAAGTCACAACCTCTCTGTGCCTCCATTTCCTAGAAAATGAGGGGACTGAACTCTCCTTTGAAGGTTCCTTCAAGCTCTCAATCTATGATCCTATGTTCCTTCAACTGGTATAGGCTTTCATGCAAGGAAATGCAGGCCCTGAATGATCTGACATCTGGACCTCCAGATACGCTTTACAGGATGCCAGGTGGCCAATGCATTGGCAATGAGTACCTTACAGAAGGGTAAATGCCAGGTGGAGAAGGTTGACCTTGAGAAAGCCCTTGAAAGGTGGGTAGGCCGTGCATCCACAGAGCTTGGTTCTGCCTAGTTCCCTCTTAAGAAGAGACATGGATTTGGCAATGGCCATTGGGAAATGATCAGCACTAGGCCTGGTCAAGAGCCTCATGAGGTCAGATCTTTGGGCCTCCTGAGAGCTACTGAAATGAATCATGGAGACAGGCAGCCAGCACTGACATTCAACTGATAAGATTCCTAACGGGGAGGGAGAATGTATTTTGCCAAATTTTGTTCTAATTTTGGACCTTAATTTGAAACTTCTGAACACCATGTTCCATTTGGCTTAGACCAAATGCAAGCATTACTTATTGTTTATTTTATCCTTCTGTAGCTGGGCACCCTTTATTCTTAGTGAGTTTTGCATTTAGTACAGACTCCATCTAGATAGAAAAACATGCTGTTTTTATTTCCTCAATTTCCCTGGGGAAAAATGATGTACACAATGGAGAAAATGGTTCCTTAAAAATGTTCTACAAAGGAAATATTATGCCAAGAGATGAACCTAGTAGAGAAATAAACTATGAAGCCCACAATTTGGTGCGTTGTAGGACCATTAACATAAAGCTGGGGCAGGTGGGGAGGAGGGGAAACTCAGAATCCATCTAAGCCAGTGTATCTCTGTATCATGGAGTTCTTTTTCAGGCTGGTGCAATCTATGGACCTCTTTTCAGAACATTATTTTTAAATGCAAAAAAGTAAAATGTGTAGGATTACAAAGGAAAATAAAATAATTATATTAAAATTTGGTTATCAAAATATTTTTTTAAAAAAAGAACAAGTTCTTGAACCCCAGATTAAGAATCCCTGATCTAGTTCAACCCCCTCCTCATTTTACAGATGAGGAAACAGAAGCAATGACTTGCCAGTATTAAGTATTACGAGTTGGGGGTAGAATTTGAACCCAAGTACTTTAACTCCAAAGCCAATGTTCTTCCCCCTGTATCGGACTGCCTGACCCTGAAAGTACAGTTTTGTTGATTCTATTTTTCTTAGACATCGAATTCCAAAGGACAGCATTCATCAATCAATCAACAACTATTTATTAAGGGGTGCTAAGATGAAAACAATCCTGCCCTCGTGAAGCTTAAAGTTGGAATAATATTTCTCACTGATTTAACATGTCAAGTATTATATAATGATTTCTTCATGATAACACTGTGGGGTTGAGATTATTATGTCCCTCCCCCAAAATAACAATTTCACACCCTATTCTTAAAAATATTTAGAAGAAAAATCTAACAGTATTCCTTGGGAATATGCCCTGCTGTCTCACTTATGATCAGTAAATTCTTGTTCATTTATAACACAAATCCTTGCTTTTTACCATTTTGGTTCAATCCCTATGTTCATGATATTTGTTTCTCCAAAGAACTGCTGATAGATTTTATTATAGGACCAAATCCTGCTCACTGCAAAAGGTGGTTTTGTCCTTACAATAAAACATGTCCACCATGATGGTGGTGGCTAGGACTGTGCATAGCTGGGGCTCGTTCAGGGCATACTACATATGTATGAACTAGACCCAAAAACAATCTAGCCTGATTTCTATCCTGAGCAAATTCAGTGGGCTGTGTATCTATCTCTTTATATAAACTCAAACCTGTTTGGACATCCGTCTTAAAATGTTGTCTAGTCTTGGAATTCATTTCTATATTTTATTTAAAATTTGGATCCCAATGCTACCACACCACTGACCTTGCCCTTAGAGGCTGAACTTGCCTCCTGCCTCTGGTATTTGCTTGCTTACTTGGGCTAGTTCCTTTAATGAATGACTCTTTCGTCTCAAATGGTTCTTCTCCTCTTGCTTCTGCCCACCACCTCCCACCTCTTGCCTCCCAATGTTACTGTGGCATACAAACTAGCATTAGAAGATGCTTGACAGGGAACATTGTGGCTTACTGCAACAAGTGCTCTTGGCCCCACCTTCTAAGCAAGGCCTTTCTATGGACCAGCCAGGACCAGAGTAGAATTAGCAAAAATAAAAGAAGAAGATGACCTCAAAGGCTTGAACCAAAGGAAAGTTAGAAACAAAAGAATGTCATTTTGTAAAAGTTCAAATGGTTCTTCTCAGTGGGACTGAAGAGATAAGGTCATCATAGCATCTTATCTGGGACAAAAAATAACAACAACAACAACAAACAATCTGAACTATAATGAACTATAAGTTCATCGTGATTCAAAAGGGAAACATGGCCATAAAAGTGAATATAATCTTGGGGTGCGTTAAGAGAGGCACAGTGTGTCCAGCACTGGAGAGGTGATAATTCCACTGTATTCTGCCCTGGGCAGTCTATTTCTGAAGTATTGCATTCAGTTCAGATGCCATGTTTTAGAAAGGACATTGATAAGTTGAAGATTTTCTAGAAGAAGGCAACCAGAATGGATGAAGAGCCTAGGGAGAATACCCTGTGAGGATAAAAGGAACTGTGGATGGAGAAAAGAAGCTGAGTATAGCAAGGAAAAAGGATAAGATAGATGTACTCAAGTATTTGAAGAACTATTATGGAAAAGAGGAATTAATCATTTTTTTGGCTTGGTCCCAGAGGGCAGAAGGACTAATAAGTAGAAATGATAAACACAGATTTAGATGTCAGGAAAATTTTCTTAATATGTAATGCTACTGAAAAATGGAATGCACTGCCACTGGAAGTAATGGTGGATTCCTCTTCATGAGAGGTTTTCAAACCAAGCCTGGAGTGACTACTTCTTGGTTATGATGTAGAAGAGAATTCTTGCATCTGGTACCAATTGGATTCAATGTCCTCTGACATCCTTTCCAGTTCTGATTCTGGGTGGGGGGGAGGGGATGTGCCCTATGTAACTTTCCAAAGAAAATAACACTATATACAAGTTCTGTTTACCCATGAAAAAGAAGTGAATGATCTTCCCAGGGTGTCTTGGGACATAGCCACCTCTACAATGAATAACTGCTAATCCAGACTTTCGTTAATAAGAATGTCTGGGAACCAAAATTCCAGGGAGTGTTGGGCTGGCTTGAGCAACATTACATCCCACCTGGATAGAGATTAAAGTCATAGACCTTCACCCTGCCCTAAGAGATCTCACGGTATGCCCTCTTTACCCTGAGAAGACTCAGCACCCCCACTATCACACCAGAATCCACATATAACCCTGGATAAGTTTAAAAATGCTTTCTGATCCCCTCAAAGCTCATGTTCCTTTTACCCACCGAGGCATAAAACGTTAACTTACCTCAACGAATAAATAACAGAGTAATTGTGCCCTTGATGCTTTTTTAAAGTGTTCCCAGAAGAGATTTCACAGAGAAGTCCAAGAAATTGAGGCCTTAAGAAGCATCTGAACTCAAGGTAACAAAAGCTAATCTCTCAGAGTGATGTCAAAACCACTACCCAACTGCTGGAACCAATTGGCAAGGCAACGTATAAGCCTCTTAAATTAGATTACAAGAAAGGAGAATGTGAACCTTTGAAGAGAAACAGAGTTCTCGGAAATGGTATTCTTACTTGTTTGGGGGGGAGCAGAGGATGTCGAGGGGAGAGGGATACTCATTATTGACCTCATTCTTTCCTTGCTTTTTTCCTAATGCTTTCCATTTGAAAGGCTTATGGAAAAATAAACTCTAAACACACGTGAGTGACTTTTCTTTGTCTGTGACTGCCCCTTCTCAGTGTGGGATCCTGTGGCCACCAGACAGTGCCAATAATGCCACAGGAAGTGATGCAGTATTCATTATCCAATCATAGTAAGTGATTTCGACGGGGGGAAGGGGGAAAGGAAATAATCACTTCTGATTTTTTAGGGTCATTTTCTGCTCAGGGTTACCTTTGAGGGTGGAGGTAGGGCAATGGGTCAAAACAGAGGTTTCAGAATGCCTTTCTTTTTCTTTTGTGTAGTTATGGAATACTTGGGACACAATAATACTTCTGGAGGTCTTTACAAATGTAGTCTCATTAGTTTCCATCATCAGTCCTGGAGGAA